CTACTTTGTGTGAGTGCTACTGAAAGTACAGATTTTTCTAATGTGATATATTAGTACAAGGTTATATTTTGGCTGTAATGTACATCTCAAATTGGAAGTGTCCCAGACTGAGGTGGGCCCCTGTGAGAAACCACTGCAATTTAGAACAATGCAAGGTCTGGTTGTGTGAACAACTAAGCACGTATAACATGTTCCAGAGAAAGTGATACTCTTTGAAATACAGATGTTGGAAACAAACCGTAGGAATATCCTCTGCCTTCTTGCTACACTTGAGAGTTTCTCGAAAATCTGATTTGAAAAGTCTTGGAAACTGTTTGATGGAAAAAACATTTTAAATAAGTGAGAGTATGGGCTTATACACTGCATATGCTTGCTGGACATGAATATATAATATTATCCTCAACTTGCCTCTGCCTTACAGCCCCCACCCCACCCCCGTTTCACTTCAAAAGTAACAGGTTTTGCCTTTTCAGCACAAGGTATGCTAGGTGGTCAGAGTGTGTCAAATTGTTTCTCCTGTCACACGGCAGAAAAAATGGGCAATACCTGCAGACAAGAACAGTGGTGCCATTTGTCTAATTTCTTAGAGTTTCTCCTATACTTGGGAGAGGTCAATGCTTTTCTTACTACTAGTGGCAGGAGAAGTGAAAGGAGAGAAGGAGACCAGCTCCATTGGTGTCAATTCTCCAATCCCATAGAGACAGGGTCACAACTGTTCCTAAAGAAGACATTCTTCACTAGAGCTCTCAATTCTCCCTCTTTTCCAGTGCAGACAAGACCTCTATTCGGCTTCATTGCTGGAAATGAGATCAGCCCCTTGTTAAGCCAGCAATGTTTTCTGTTGGCTCCCATGCTGGATAACAGCACTTGCATGCCACTACTGTACGTGGAACAACCCTGTGAGGTCAAAAATGGAATTTAACTTTTTAATAATATATCTTCTAGCCTTTAATTCAGCAAATTTTGATTGTAATATTTGAAAATACTTAGAAAATGCCACTGGAGTATTTTGGAAGAAGACATTTCCAACTACTTATTTATACTTGATGCAATTTTTGGGATAGGGGGAAAACCTAATTCTGACATTTTCAAAACTTCTTAAACAGATTCAAGCACACAAGATGAATCTGAATTGTTACATGAATGGTTTGAACTAGTACTGGAAAAGAACAGATTAATGCGCTATGAAGCTGAACTCTTGATCATGTAAGTCAGAATTGGCAGTTTGCATCAATGGTGAGAATATATGTACTGTATGTATGTATTTATGGATGTCAGAAGATTTTCTTTTCATCATGCATATGTTCCTTACTGAACTAAACTGCTGTGTTACCCCTTACAAATGTATTTTTATTTTGGTTTGAAGTTAGATGGTTATTTCTTTTTATACTATCCTTACTGAAAGGCTTTGATTGAATATCTTCTAAGGATACTTTCATGCTGATTTGAAATCTAAGGAAGGGAGGGAAGGGAAAGGAAGGGAAGGGAAGAGAAGGGAAAGGAAGGAAGGAAAGTCTTTTATATTTTTTTTACCTTTGAATTGAGATAAAACAATCATAGTCAATCCTAATTTTAAACCATTTGAAAACATTTTAATGTTGTGATATATTCATTCATGAGCTGTACAATATATTTCCTGCTTTGTTTCCTGATACTACCATATTTTTCCTTTAATATCTAATTTCTTATTATATCTGTTGCATTTATAAGACCATTCAGCCCTAATTATGTGGGTGGCATACAACAAATTTGTGAACAATCATCCTAAAAAAGAAAGACCTACATCATTAAAACACTCCAATGTATAAAAGAGTGACCCAAACTTAATAATTAAACAACTAAAAGACTCCACTCATCTGAACCCCAATATTTGGCTAAAAAGCTAGGTTTCAGTGGCTTTTCTCAAGGCAAGGAGAACAAGGGCTGTCATAAAGAGACAGTCCTTGATTTATGATCACAGCTGGGACCAGAATTTCCACTGATAAGCAAGGGGGTGGTTAAGTGAGTCATGCCTGATTTTACGACCTTGGTTTTTAAGCAAATCACTGCATTCTTAATGTAAGCAAATATAGCTTCTCCTGTTGACCTTGCCCATTAGAAGCTTGATGGGAAGGTTGAAAATTGCAATCACATGGCCCCAGGATGCTGGTTGCCAAGTGGCTGAATTTTGATCACAAGACCATGGGTATGCTGCAACAATTGTAATTGTGAGGACCACTTGTAACAAACTTTTTCAGTGCCATTGTAACTTTGAATGGTTGCTAAACAAATAGTTGTAAGTTGAGGACTACCTATGTCAGAGGGAAGAATCTTTCCAGAGGACATTATCCCATGCCTCAAGCTAGTTTTTGATAGCATTTTTTGTGTGTGTGTGACTTCTATGCTCATCAAGAAAAGCATGTTTCAATCTTGGAGACTGTTTTCAAAATTGGCCAAGTTAATGGATGTATGGGTTGAAAATGATGATAGAAATGGAAATAAACTTGAACACATTTTATTGTATTGCTGGAAAAAAAATAAGGATCTTGATCAACTTTGTGTAGAATGATAAAAGTTATCAAAGGATCAATCCTCTTATTGGGACCTTTTTCTTGTTCCAGAGCCAAAGATATAGAACTAGAAGATCATCAGAATGACCGGAGGAGGACTGAGACAGAAAACTAACTATTGATGATAAAGTAGAGGTTTAAGGTATTGGTATAAGGTTTATTTAGTATACAAAATCAGTATGTCACCTGAAAATGTGTACAGTTAGTGCTCATTTTCCAAACACATTGAGACTGGTAACTCTATCGCCAAGAAACACAGTTGTAAGGGGAAAAATCACTCCTTACTTACTAGTTTTTTTCATTTCCAGCTGTGGTTGTTAAGTGAATTATCATGGGTCATTAAGTGCAACATTACATTACTGTGACTTGCAACTTCCTGTCAGATTCTCCATTGACTTTACTTGTGGGAAGCTGGTTATGAAAGTCTCAGATGACAATTGTATGAGTGCAGGATGCTGTAACTGTCGTAAATATGTGCTCGTTGCCAAGTACTTGAATTGTGATCATGTGACCATGGGATTTGAGGTTTGGTTATAAGTTTCCTTGTTCAGTGCTGTCATCACTCTGAATAGTAACTGAATGAATGGCCAATAAGTAAGGACATTACTACAAGCAAACTTGCATGACTGCTGGCAATATTGAATTCCTTTACATAGTAGGAATGGATTATTTTGACATTTTAAGATGGTCAAAATCACCCTCTGGTAAGATGGGTGGCAAACAAATTTCATAAAATAAAATAAATATTATTTATTGTTTCTTATGTGGTCAAGAATGAATGTAGTAATATGAAAGTGAGAAATTGGTATGAACAAAGTTGAGATGTTCCTGTTGGAACTATGAGCTGATTCTTGAAGGAAATGTATAAAGGCAGCTTCTTGTATATTGTTCATTTAGGAAGCTTGTGTATAAACCCAATTGGACAGTATCCCTGATGGGGTAGAAAAGTCAACAATACAGCAATACAGATGGGCAACCTGTTCACAAATGCTTGGTGAGCATTTATATATACCATGTCTGATAGCATTCATGGACATAACAGCATAATAAGTAGATGGAACTTGTTTCGATTCAGGCTTCCCCACTTTTGTCACACTAACACCAAATATAATTAATACAGTATGCTATTTAATGCAATAGAAAAATTGTATTAATTTTTAATTTTTGTATTCATAACAGGGCCTAATTGATGAGAAAGGAACATGAGAAAAGAAACAGAAGAATGCTAACAGTATTTTCTGGAAGGAACAGGAAGTTTCAATAAGCCAAAGAACTATATTTTGATAAGTTTATACTGCTTGACAAATATAAATACAGAAGGATGCATACAGTTCTCAGAAAACAATTGTCCTTCCAGTGTAGTAAACACCATTAATGTATTATTACAATGTATGCTGTCCAGTCACTTGTGGAGATGAGATTGGGGCTTATAGAAATCAAATAAATTGGGATCAAAATCTTATTGCACAGTGTAACTGTAGGAGAAAGGAATAATGTTCCAATTGGTAATATAAAAATAGCATTGGCCTTTGTGGAAATAGAATGACTGAATTTTAATAGGGCCTTATCTAATACAGTTCCATTGAGGAAGTAATACTAGAATGGTCTTTGTGTTCTACTTCCTGGATTTTTAATTCTGAGAATACTTGAGAGTTACAAAACTGCAACACTGTTTTAGTTTTCCTTAAAAGTAGGGTCTAAGGATCCTTAGATCCATGTTTCTCATTTGTAAACATATCTTGTTGATGAAAGTGATTGAAATAAATACTACTACATACCTCTTGGCATTTTACATTAATTCTTGAGTTGGAGGATGATATCCTTGTGATTAGAATGCCACTGTAACTATGAACAGTGACAATTAATTATAAATTATACTCTATATGTATATTGTAAATAAATAACAGTGTGCTGTTAAGCAAATGCAAGTTATAAGATGTTTTTGCAAATTAAAAGTCACTATATATATTAAATCTTTAAAACTATGCTAAATATTTGTACTTTGTACATTGTAATTTAATACATAAGCATTTATTCTGAACAAGATGTAAAGAGATTAAGTAGGCTATTTGTACTGAAACAAATAATAAAAAAATTGGTTTACTCTAAATGTTATTTTTGTATTTTGTTTTTTAAAACTTGCATGACAGGTGTAGGATAGCACAGTAGTTGTTTCTGAACATCTTTGTTTAGTATTCCAAATAGAAATATTTTTTTTTAAAAAAACTGTTTATATAAAATATGCATAAAAGACTAACAGGAGGGAACAGTTCAGGAAGAACCATGAATTAGATACATCTGGGAAAATGTCATTCCTTCAAATAACTTATGATGACCAGCATGTTATTGAAACCAAAGTGATTTGAACTTGCTAGATTCAAGCCTAAACCCAACTCTCCTCATTCAGACCTCCAGATACCAGAAAAGGACCTCCACAGTATTTCTTCTTCAGCCAGGCACTGAAATCTAAAGCTGGGTACTATAATATCAACATATAGCTATGATATCGGATCACATTTATGACCTTTTCCAGTGGTCTCATGTAAATGTTGAATAAAATTCATCATTTTATTGGGCTGATTTCTCCCACCTACCAACATCTTGGAAATGGCCCAGTTGCTTAATACCAGCGGGCAGAAATACAGACTCTGTCATGTGAAGCAGATCCTCCTAAGCAGGAAGAGTAATCCCTTTGTGTTCCGTTACTTCCTCGCTAGCTCGCTTAGCCTTCAAAATCAAAGAATTTGCATTAAACATCTCTTTCCAGCCCCTTTCAACACTCCTCTAACGCTAAACTGAATTCTTACTCGGCTGCATGTAATCCTCAAGAACCGGCGGTGGCACATCTTCTCCCGATCCAGCCTTTCCCCTTCCCCCAGGGGGGATTAAAATTAGCCGTGGAGTGGAAAGAGGCGATATAGCTTATTGAACGGAACAAAGACTTACTTCTGATGTTTAGAAAGTACAGAAGCAGTTTGCATAACTGAAACTGGGCTAGGAAATGACGTCGCGGGAAATGTTTTCTGGGAGCACAAGCTATGCTACCTTTTGAAATTGCCCCGGCCAATTATGCAGGTATGGTGAATGAATCTGCCCTGGGGAGCCTGCTAGGTTGCGTGGGACCTCTGTCCCTTGTAAGCATTAAAGTACAACTAAAGGCACGAGTTTACTTATGCAGAATAGAGACTCGCAGGGTCTTCCCCAAACTCTCCCTTGCAAGTGAAACATTAGCTAGGCGTGGAGTTGAAAACTTAGATTCAACTCCGCAGACTTTCCTGTCAAGTAACCGTATGTAGGATCGGGCTGCAGACCTATGCCTTATCAGGCAGGGGACACCGGGACGTTTTCCCTGTATGTTTGCATAAGATCCAGGCCGCAGCATCTTTCCAAGAGGGTCCGTCTACCTGCGGATCCGCCGAAGATGCAGGGCAATTCGTGGGCCCAAACCGCAAGCTCTGCGGACGGAGGAAGAGAGCGGCGGCGGCGGCAGCTCTCCACGGAGCCGAGCAGACTCGGCGCGTGTTTGCCAGAGGGAGAAAAACTCCTTCCCTGGGTGTGCGCGGGAGGGAGGGAAGGAGGACCGAGGGCGGGAGGGAAGGAGCAAGACCCAGAACAGCCTCAGATGCTTGGAATAATTCCGCTTCCGTTGGGAATAGGGACGAGCCGCTGGTCGCTGAGCCGAGCGAAGCCTCTCCGCTTTCGCTTCCCCGACCAGGCTCGGGCGCCGTTTCGTGGGACCCACCGCCATGGCGACCTCTCCTCAGAAATCGCCTGCTTCCCCCAAGTCTCCGACCCCCAAATCGCCCCCTTCTCGGAAGAAAGATGACTCCTTCCTCGGAAAGCTCGGAGGCACCCTGGCCAGGAGGAAAAAAGCCAAAGAAGGTAACCGAATTGAGCGCCAAAGCTCCGCAGCGCGCGGCGCCTTTAATGGGGCGAGGGGAGGGGCGAGAGATGAGTGGGGGGGGTGAAAGAGGAGGCAAAGGTGGCCCCAAGCTGCCTTCCAACCCGGACCCGCGGGGCTTGGAGAGGCGCCTGGCGGGGCCGCCGGGCTGGGTGCGCCGCTGTGAGGAACGCGCGTCATGCTGGAAAAATGTTGTCCCCTGAAGCACTGCTGGGGAGTTGATGATGATGGGCTCCTCCGGCAATTCCTTTTGCTTTCTTGCATGGAGAAGTTTGACATCGTGACGTACAGAGTTCTCCCTCCCCCCCCCCCCAAGCGCTGGCATAAAGTCCTGAGAGTGGCGGCAAGCTTTAGCGCTGGTTTAGCAAGGTTGTTTTCGCCCGCCTGGGAGCTCGCAGGCCCTGTGGAAAGGGCCTGAGTGAGACGTCACCGTCCGTTGCTTACCGGAAAGGGCTTATTTCTCGGAATGCGGGGCTCGAAAGCGTGTCCCCGATCGCGGGGAAGAGGAGGTTGGCAGCAGCGCGGCTCTCCGCTCCCCCGCACCCAGCTGGGCGCTGCCAAGTCAAAAGGCTTTGTGTCTTTTCTAATCATGGTTTCTTGTTCTTTTGGTTGGAAAAACTCCAGTCAGAAGAAGTTGATGGAAGAGGAGAAAAGATTTCAGGCTGGACATCATCTGGGTCAAGATTATTATGGGGGAAGGGGGAAGAGTCTTCATTGAGAGCGCCCCACAACTTGAGAAGTGGGGAAAAAAAAGGAACATACTGTTTGTTTAAAATTGAAACGTTAAACCCAGGTGTCTAGGTTTGCAAGACACATAGTCCTATTAGTAAACTGCATGGATTTTGAGTATGGTTTATTGAATAAACTACAGTTAAGAGAGATCACATTATGAAGAAATAAACCATGATGTACAAACCACAGTGTCTGGATTTGTGGAGTATGCAGTGGTTTGTTTGACTTTGATTCATACTCTGTTTAGAGTTATACTAGTGAATTGCTTCTACAAAGATGCTCAGGTATTTGATCTGAGTCTTCAGATCAGCCCATAGCATTGCAGCATTCCTCATCAATATTTGTATATATACTTTATTAAAATCAGAGTCCTCTGACAATTTCTTGTTTTTACAAGGTATAGTAAAGCAGGTCAATGGTAGGCCCAGTATGTTGTCTGAATGCAAAATCCTGGTAATTCTGATTTAAGTAGCCAGAATCACGCATGATCCACTCTGGATCTGAAAGGCTAATTTCACAGTTACTCTGTCTTCTACACCAAGATAGAAATGAAATCTTATCTAAGTCATTCTTACTATTTATTACATAATAATCACTTACTACTTATCTATTATCACATTATTTGTCTCTTTTTTAGTTATTAAAACATCAGTTGATTTCATTTGTATATCTAATATATCATTTTCCCCATCTTTTTGGAACCTGTCATTTTAAAATCTAAGTTGAAATCAATTTCAGTTTTGTCCAATAAAACATGTTCCTTTTCCATGACATCACAAACACACACACACACACACACACAGAGAGAGAGAGAGAGAGAGAGAGAGAGAGAGAGAGAGAGAGAGAGAGAGAGAGAGAGAGATGACTGTGGACATAGATGGAATCTCTTCACTCCCAGCCACTCCACTCATAGCCAACTGCAAAAATTCCTGTTCCTGCAGTCTACTCATGGGTAGCAGCTATCTGCTGACCAGGCTCCAGCCACTGGCCATCAATTTTGTCCAGTGGATGCTGTCCCTGCTCTTTCAGGGACTTCTAGCTCACCATGTCCTGAGTGAAAGTCCTGTGATTTTTTATTCTGAAGCAGGATTATAGAAGGCAAAATCCAACATTTGGAAGGTTGCAAATTGCTTTTCCCCTTAGTAACATATCCACAAAGGTAATGGCAGGCAGCCTAAAATAGCTGTTGGCTTCAGTGAATTTGAGCAATACAATCAAAGATAATAGGAATTCAAATCCAACAACATCTAGAGAACCACAGATGATTCTTTCTATAAAGTTTTTAAACTGAATGGTAAGCAAATAAATAAGTTGTAAAAAGCGCCAATCTGAAAATTACCTTTTAGTTCTGTTTTTTTTCTTCAGATCTGGGATCTAGGGAACACTCATACTGCAGTAACTGATTATACATGCTGTAATCCCTCCATGAAGTGGTTTTCAAATTATATTGGAAACAAACCATTTCCTAAAAGACCTTCTTTGGGGTAGATCAATAATCACAGACAAGACTCTTTGACAGCTAGGTTGCCTACCACCAGTAGATTGCTTCTAAAATGGGCACTTGCAGCGGATTCTAGGGTTCAATTTTTGAATATCTGTGATAGACTGTTTTGTGATTGGAATTTATATGTGTTTAGAGAACACATTTAATATTTTGGTGCATAAAAACCATCTGATCCATTTTGAGGTTTGGATTAAGAGCTTTGTATATTCCCAGTCTGCTCCAGGAGGCCTTGGGGGTAATCAGAAGTAGTTACGGTACTATTTTTCCCTTTTATATTAAAATGAAAATAAATTTCTGGGTATGTTAAATTATCTTGGAACAATTAAGTGGGCCATATATTGCAGAAGTCTGTAGGAGTTTTCAAGCTACTCTCCTTTGAAATTGAATTGTTCAAAGGGCCTGTAAATATTTCCCCCACCAAAATAGGATGAAATTTTGCAGGTCTGTCTATAATTGTGTCTACTTTTCCTGTTAATCCAGAAGGAAAGGCACACTTTGGTTGCATCTAATAGGGAGGGTCATCTGGCAGTACCCAGGAAAAGAGCTTATTATATTGTTACACCTCTGTCTGGAAGATCATCGCCCTGGAAATTTGATTTGCCTCAGTCCTTTTGGATTTCTATAAACATGGTTTTGTTGCTAAGCCTAGGGCTCTGACAAAGTAGTTGAACCTGTATCATGGTTATGTTAATTGTATTGGTTGCTGTATATGTTAAGTTTTAATCTTGTTTTTATTCATTGTTAGATATCATGTATTTGAGATGGGCAGCTGTATAAATTGAATGAATAAATGGATGCTAAACAGTTCTGAATAGTATTCATAGGAATTGGATTAGAGGCTTACATTGAATGGGAGAAACACAAATGGATACAATTTGCAGCTAAGTCAGTTTTTCTTAAGGAATAGCCAGAGCAAATTTTAGACAGGCTGATTTTTGTGTGTGGTCTGATATTTTTATTTTATTATTTTATTTTATTATTTTTTATTTTATTTTATTTTATTAAATTTATTTGCAGCCCATCTCACCACAAGGTGACTTAATTGCAAATTTCACTCTGATTTGCATCCATTCATCATTGTGTCAAAGAAAGAAAGAAAGAAAGAAAGAAAAGAAAGAAAGAAAGAAATGCAGCTGATTGAGCTTTACACTGTGTGCTCCAGAGACAGAGCTCTATATAAATGTAATAAAACGGATCTTTATAGAAACTTTAGGTCTGGAATGAAAGACTTAGATCCATCTGCTCAAAGAGCAGGTGGCTGCTGTGATCAAGATCTTTGCACAGGTACATATGATGCACCAATTGTGCCCATTCCTAGAATAGGATGCCCTTCAGACAGTGCATCCTATTCATACCCTAATGACCTCGCAAATGGATTACTCCAGTAAACTCTATATGAGGATGTCCTCAAAGACCATTTGGAAGTTATAGCTGGTCCAGAATGCAACAACAAGTTGGAAAGAGATGTTTAATAATGGGCATGCCTTCTTATATCCATGTGATACCACTGCTTCACAAGCTGCAGTGGTTGCCAGCTGGCTTCTATGGAGAATTCAAAGTATTAGTTATGACCCAGAAAGCCCTTTATGGCTTAAGGACATGGTTATTTGAGGGACCAGCTATTTGTCCTCTCAGTAAGATTAAACTATAACATTCCAAGTCCCTTCAGTTAAGCAACATCACTTATTCGGACCTGGGAAGTATACTTTCTCTGTTTTGGCATCTGGCCTCTGGAACAGTATCCCTCTAGTTGTTCTCGATTCTCTGAAAACCTGGATTCCGCTCCATGGCTGGGGTTAAGGTGGTTGTCAAACTGTTAGCTTTTTTTCCCCTGGTGTGTTGGAATATTTTCTTTTTCCAGATGTACATTTCCCCCCTTCATTTGATTGTTTCTTACTTTTCACAGGTAAGTCACGCAAGGTCATCTAAATCCAATAAAATACTAATAAATAATTAAATCAGTTCTGTCTTTGGTAAAATGGAAATATGATCTGACTTACTGCAGTCCCGTTCTGAAATTAGGTTTCATAAGGATCTAATGCAGTGGTTCTCAACCTTTTTAATACCGCGACCCCCAACCGGTCATAAGTCGAGGACTACTCAACCGGTCTTAAGTCGAGGACTACTCAACTGGTGCAGCACCGTTTGCAGAATGGGACTTTTGGCGGGCTCAGCAGGGCAGAGACAGCCTGGACAATTCCTATTGTCTTTTGAAAGCCAATAGAATTAGACTCTATTCAAGAGAGTCTATTCTATTGGCTTTCAAAAGCCGATAGAATAAAAGGGAGTAGCACAGTTAAGGAAAAGGGGAAAAAAATGGTGGACTGCGTTGTTTGGCGACCCCCGTGAAATGGTCATTCGACCCCAAAGGGGGTCCCGACCCACAGGTTGAGAACTACTGATCTAATGCATATAGTTTATATAACTGCATACAGATTATTGTGCCCTGTGCTAATAATGTATGCTTGCTTGTAAAGTGGTACGACTGTTTGATCAGTGACTGATTAGAATCAGCCCTGTACTAAATGAGAGAAGTCTATGTTAGAAGCAGCTACCAAGCTGTTTAAAGCAACATCTGAGAGGGGAATAGGATTAACCTAAACTTTAATGTGGGGCACATCTAATATTAAAAAGAAAAGAGGTAATTCTTGACTTACAACCATTTGTTTAGCCACCATTCAAAGTTACAATGGCACTGAAAAAAATGACTAATAACTGGTCCTTACACTTACAACCTTGATTGCA